GCATGCCAAGCAGAGGCATGCCAAGCAGAGGCAAGCAGAGGCTCTGCCACTGAGCCACAGCCCCTCCCTTCAAGTGATCAAAGAAAAAGCCAGGAAATTGCTCATGTGTCTTCTATGCATCAGTCCACAATTTCTAGAAAGGTGCAACTGCTTTGAGTCATATAGCAAACTGGCAAATGTCTTAAATAAACACCTGTGGGAGGTCCCCTGCAATACCACAGGCTCGGTCCCCCCAGTGCAGATTAAGCCCCCCGCCCTGGAGCTGCTGGTGCATTCTGCCAACTGCCTTGAGAGGTGGGACCCGCTCTGCCGTGTCCTCTCGACCGATACCCCTCCTTCTGCCTCTGACGGTTCCCTCCTTTTGCCACCTTTCCAGGCGTTTCCCCAAACCCTACTACCGGCTGAGATTCAAGGTCCCCGGCAGCAACGCCACCATCGCCATCCTCATGATCGACACGGTGACCATCTGCGGCAATTCGGACGACTTCCACGACGAGCAGCCCCTGGGCCCCAAGGACCTGGGCGTGGCCCGGAGCCAGCTCTCCTGGCTGCGCAAACAGATGGCCAAGGCCAAGGAGGACTACCTGCTGGTCGCCGGGCACTACCCGGTCTGGTCTGTGGGGAGACACGGCCCCACCGCCTGCCTGGTCAAGCTACTTCAGCCCCTGCTGCAGCAGCACAAGGCCACCGCCTACTTGTGCGGCCACGACCACAACCTGCAGGTGAGCAGAGGAAGACAGACCCTCCTCCTCCTCCTCCGTGTCCTGTCGGGAGCTTTCGCATTCACGCATTTTCTGTACAGAGAATTCAGCACGTGGAAAGAGCGAGTCAGTCTTAAGTCTGGGCCACAGGCTGACTAGTCCGAGGAAACACCGCGTCTCATCCTCTGTCAGACAGGGTGGCCCACCTGATTGTGTGTGTGTGTGTGGGGGGGAGGGCCACTGAGTCAGAGCCGACACAATCAGGTTTTCAAGGCAAGAGACCAACAGAGGCAGTTTGCCGTTGCCTGCCTCTGCGTAGCAATGATCCCTCTAAGCTATGGAGCCTTGTGAGCAAAAATTCTACTTTGTGAGCGACTGGCATTAAAGTTGCGAGCGAGCGATTTGGCTGCTGCATTAATCAGTGTGCTCTTGAGCAACCCTTCCTGAGCTAGGACAAAAATGTGTGAGCCGGAGGCTTAAAAAATCTGAGCTAGCTCACACTAACTCAGCTTAGAGGGAACACTGGTAGCAACCCTGGACTTCCTTGGTGGTTTCCCTCCCAAGCACTAACTAACCAGCGACGACCCTGCTTAGCTTCTGAGATCGGATGAGGCTGGGCTAGGCTGGACGATCTAAGTCAGGGCAAGAGAGGAACAGAGGTGGGTTCGCCCTGGCCTGCCTCTGCGTAGCAACCCCTGGGCTTCCTTGCTGGTCTCCCATCCAAGTACAAGCCAGGGCCAACCATACTTAGCTTCCGAGATCGGACAAGATCAAGCTAGCCTGGGCTATCCAGGTCAAGGAAAGAAGACAAACATACAGGTGGTCTGCCATGGCCTGCCTCTGCGTAGCAACCTTGGACTTCCTGGGTGGCCTCCTGTCCAAGTACTCACCAAGGCCAACCCTGCTTATCTTCTAGACCTGATGAGATCGGGCCAGCCTGGGCCATCTAGGTCAGGGCAAGAGACGAACGGAGGTGGTTTGCCCTTGCCTGCCTCTGCGTAGCAACCCCTGGAGGTCTCCCATCCAAGGACTAACCAGAGCTGACCCTGCTTAGCTTCCGAGATCTGACGAGATCAGGCTAGCATGGACCATCCAGGTCAGGACAGGAGACAGTCAGAGGTGGTTTGCCATTTGCCTGCCTCTGCATAGCAACCCTGGGCTTCCTTGGTGGTCTCCCATCCAAGTACCAACCAGGGCCGACCCTGCTTAGCTTCCGAGGTCTGACGAGGTCAGGCCAGCCTGGACCATCTGGGCCAGGGACAGCTACTTGCCAGGGAGCGCGAAAGAGAGACACGGGAGCATGCGCTGCGGAAGAAATGGGTGCAGAAAGGAAAGGCTTGCTTCGTGATCCGCTCACACGCGCGGGGTGCTCTTGGTGCTGCTCCTGGTCTGTAGCTTCTACCCCTCCCCTCGATCTCTGGCTCTCAGCAGTAGCCCGGCGGATGGCTGGTCTGCACATCCCTTTTGCTTCTCCTCCCGCGTGGGGTGTGCAGAGAAGGCCGGGCGGGCCATGAGCTCCCCCTGCCTCCCGCCTTCTCGATGGGCCCTGACCCTCGGTCCTTTGCTCACCCTCTCGCGTCCGCCACTTCTGTCCACCGTGAGGCCCCCGTTTCTCCACAGCCTGCAATCCCCTAATTCAGATATTCCACCACGGCCTTTACAGAACTCTTGCGGCTTCGCTAGGTAGCTTCTGCATGTCCAGCTGGCATCTCACCGGCCCTTTTCCCACCTGCTCTCCATCTCAACTTGTCTTTCCACTGCAGACAGGAAGCCCTCTGTCCGTTGACAGTCAGGGCAATACGTGGCATGCGATGAGCTTCAGTTGCTCATCTTCCCCTTATGGCCACCAGCCATGAACCTTCACAGCCTTCTTTGCCTAGCACAAAGGGCCAGTTCCGCATCTATCATTTGCTCCGCTGTTGTCGGAACAGAAACTCCCCTCTACATCGCATGCCACTTTCACTTTGATCGTTGGATTTTATGGCAGCGCCCAGACTGCATGCCGCTTTCACTTCGTTTGATCTCTCGGGTTTTATGGTACTGTCTGCATAGATTTAGGGCCATTTTTTATGGCCATTCAGGGGTGACTTTGCAGTCAGTAAAGCCTTGGCCCTGGATATCTGAATGTGGTTTTGAGCCGCGTCTCTTTCTGTTCCAGTGCTGGGTTTGGTAAAACAGCAGAGCGAATGCTAGATGCAGAATGGGCCAGTTAAAGAGTCCGTGACACCTTTAAGACCAACAAAGTTCTATTCAATAAATAATAAAACTTTGTTGGTCTTAAAGGTGCTCCCGGACTCAAACTTTGTTCTATGGCTTCAGACCAACACGGCTGCCCCCACCTTTGTCTACGACAGACAGTCTCGAGGGGTTTTTCTTTCTCCACTTTGTTTCTTGTGAGCAGGAGTCATTTAGTACAAAAAGAGGTGCAGGAGCTCATTAGCATAACTCATTTGCATATGCCACGCCCCCTGACATCACCGGAAGTGTGTCAGAAGGCAACACCCACCGCTCAGGCTCCACTGGACTCTTTTGGACTGCTAGCTATTGGGGGGGGGACGTGCAGATCTGCCCTCACAGAGGAGGGAGAGCTTGTACCTGAATAAAACTTGGTCTTAAAGGTGCCACTGGACTGTTTTGGACCAGGGGGCTCTGCAACTTACCTGGCTGCTTCTTGCTCTGCCTGAGGGCTGCTGGGAGCAGGGGGTGGGGCTTGTTGCATGTGCCCGCCCCCTGGCCTCTTTACTGCCGGAGCTCCGCTCCTGTGCGCTCCTGCAGGAAATGACTCCTGCTTGTGAGAATTTTTATGGTGAGCACTTCACAGATGGAGAACTGAGACTAAGCAAGACTGAGTTCCCCTCAGTCATGCAGGGGTTTCTGAAGGAACCAGGGGTGGAATTCATGTTCCCCAGGCCCAGTTCTGCCAGTCCACAATATTTTCCTGCAAAGAGGTGCTCTCTAGGCCACTGTAGGATGGGACGATTGGTGGTGAGCCTGCTTTAAGTCTGGTCTTCTGTCTCCCTCTCTCCCAACAGTACTTGGAGGACAAAGCTGGCGTGGGCCACGTGCTGAGCGGGGCAGGCAACTTCATGGATGACTCCACAAAAAACCTGCATTCCGTCCCAGCTGGCTACCTGCGTTTCTTCTATGGCCAGCCGACTTCTCTGGGGGGGTTTGCCTACATTAAGGTCGATGGGAAAGAGATGAGCATCACCTACCTTGACAGCAAGCGCCGGTCGCTCTACAAGACCTCGTTGCCCCGGAGGAGACTTCGCTGAGGCCAGGGCAAGCCTCTGCCACCCACAGACTTGAGGGCAAGGGGGGTTGCTCTTTCCACCTGGCTTGGGAACTAGCCTGAGAAAAAATCGAACTGCTTGTCTTTGGAGGGAGGGTGTTCTCCCTCACACTTTTAAGATGTCACGGTACACAAACCAGCTGTAGGTGCGTGCTTCTGTTTGCCTCCCAGTAGAACAGCATATCTTCTCCGTCACCTCAAACTCCCTCTGAAGCCCTGTAATCTCCTGCCCTGATCCTGGGAACACACCAGATCAAGAGGTCCTCGGTTCTTTCTCCTCTTGCCTCTTGGCAGGCCAGGGAGGCAAGCCAAACAAAGGCTACGGTAAAAGGTTTTCAGCATTTTAGGATAAGCTCACCCCTGGAAGCAAGGAGGATCGAGCAGTACGAGGCAGGAAGAAGAGACCCGTGCAGCCCGAAGTTTTCACTTTTGTCCTGGGGGAAGTGACCCCTTCAGGGCACGGCAGCGTGGGAAAGGGCGACAGGTGTGGCTTGCACACGTTTCTGCCTCCTCTGTCGTGCACCATCACCCGGCTGCTTTAGACAGGAGATGCTCATCAGGAAAAGGACAGACGCAAGGCACTACTGGATAGCCATCATTCCTTGCTCTGAGAAATGCATAGATGGGCGGGGAGGGGGACGTGCCTTGCCCTGTTCTATTCCACAGCAAGAACTTGTCATAAACACCTGGAGGGCCATAAATCAGTTGTGGAGCTCTCTCTGTCTCCCACCACCATCTTGAAGGAGAATAGACTTTTGCCTAGTTAAACCCCCCCACCCTAAAACCTTCTGCAGCGGTGTAGGTTTCAGGCGATGATGGCAGAGCTCTGCCAGCCGATTAGGACTGGGGCTGAAAATTAACTTTGCACTCTCTGAACATGTTGTGCTTTAGCTCTGTAGGGTGAGCTGAAATTCAGACCGAGAATACCAAAGGACAAGGTAAGCCACTCCCTTCCCAGGTGTGGGAGCCAGTTTGGTGTAGTGGTTAAGTGCACTGTGCGCGGACTCTAATCTGGGAGAACCAGGTTTGATTCCCCACTCCTCCACTTGCACCTGCTGGATGACCTTGGGCAAGCCATAGTTCTCTCAGAGCTGTTCTCTCCAGGACAGTTCTCTCAGAGCTGTTCTCTCCAGGACAGTTCTCTCAGAGCTCTCTCAGCCCCACCTACCTCCCAGGGTGTCTGTTGTGGGGAGGGGAAGGGGAAGGAGATTGTAAGCTGCTCTGAGACTCCTTTGGGTACTGAAGGGCCATGGGGTATAACTCCAATCTCTTCCCCTCCTCTTCTCACCTCCCACACACCTGGAAGGAGTGAAGCCTCTCCCCCATTGCAGAATCCTCTTTTCAAACCCATTCTGGAAGATTTTACAGCTCCCTGCAATGCGGATTAAGGGATTCTGCACCACATACTAAACCTTTCCGGTGGGGTGATGCAGCTGTGATTGAACACCCGCCCTCCCCCTGCAGAGGGAGCTGCCCTCTTGCAGTGGCAGAGAGTTCCTGTGGAACTCTGGTGGAAGGTATTTGGTGGCGAGAAGGAGGAGACCAAAGCTAGAATTTTGGCAATATGCAATTGCCCTAAGCCTGGGTTTACTGCTGCTCCGCCCTCTGTTTCCGAGGCCCTGGACAGAATGGCTCAGCCATCCCATCTACCCGGAACGCAGCAGATTTGGAAAGCGCTGCTGCCTCTGTGTGCCAAGAGAACAGGCGTTCTTTCCACTTTGCTTTTAAAGGATGATACATCTTTTCCTTTTGACTCCGTTGTGTGTCCGATTCTACTGTAGACACAAGTTCCAGTTATGCATTTTAAGGTTCCTTTTTTGACACAGATTTCTATCTTTTGAAATACCAGAGCCTGATTTACTGCGAGGTCAAAGATTCTGTGCAAACTGAATCCTGTTTCACTTAGTGCAATAAGATACAAGAAGTAGATATTGTGATGTTTCCTTGTGACTTTCTTTTCAATAAACTACTTTTAGATCAGTTTTTACATTTTTAAGTCATTTCAAATAACATGCAAACTACTGTTCCTTACAAGGTGCCTTTCCTTTCTCCCATTGAAGCTGCATGAGACAATGTTCTTGAGCAGCAGAAATAGGTATAATTTAAAAGGATGAAAGGACTGAAAATACATTTTGCCACAGACAAAGTCATGGGGGGGATCACAAAATCAGCGGCACTACTAAAATATTCAGAGTGGCCAGAACTAAAAGTTCAGAATGACAAGCTAAAAAAGGGATAACAAAAAGAATGCATGAGATCCTCATGAACTGGGCGCTGCAAGGTACCTTTGTTGAAAATGAAATGGCCGAGGACCAAGTTGTGTGTGCACGTATGAAATTTACACACTATTCATGTAGGGTCGCCAACCTCCAAGTCTCCAGCCCCAGAGATCTTCCAGAATTACGCCTCCACACTACATAAACCGCTTATTTATTTACCGAAGACATTTATTCCACTTCTCCTGGAGAAAATGGCTGCTTTGGAAGGCACATTCCGTGGCATCACACCCTACTCATGTCCCTCCCCAAACCCCACAGACTTCACCCCAAAGAGACTTGCCAATCTCCGGGTGGGATAGACATCCAAACAAAACATCCGTGACAAAAATAATGAAGAGTCAATAATGATAGATATGCAATTCAGTGGAAAACTCTTTCTTTTATCGCTCACACGAAACGAATTTTGCGCAATAAAAATATCCGTTTCACAAGGATTGCTTTATCTGAGCGTGTAGTAATTGCAATTCTTATCCATTTCCACTTATCAACTCTTGAAATAAACATCCCATATTGACTCTCTGACATCAGAACCCAAGGTCTGGAAATTGATAAGAATTGCAATTACTACACGCTCAGATAAAGCAATCCTTGTGAAACGGATATTTTTATTGCGCAAAATTTTTTGCGTGTGAGCGACAACGAATTTTACACAGAATTATAATTAGTATAGTAAACAATCTTGCATATATATCTTTATTGACTCTTCGTTATTTTTATAATGGATGTTGAAAAGTACGCAAACGGAGAGTGATTTCAGCAAAGCGTACTTTATTCTATCAGGCACAAGACGACTTCCCCCGAGAAACCGCCACCCAAAACACACCCCTAATTCCCTATAGGTTATTTACAGTGGCCGAGAGTCCCACAGGCTCTCGGCCGGGAACCTAGCCCCCTGATTGGAGCGGGCTAGGATCCGCATAGTCCATTGTATCTTGGAGCGAAGCTCGACGTTTGTCTCTGGGCTTGTCTGGACTGGATACATTGCAGATGTTTTGTCTGAACTTCCGTCTCTTCCCGTGATCTCTGACTTTTGGCTTCAACCTCCAGGTGGGGCCTGGAGATCTCCCAGAATTACAACCGCCAATCTCCAGATGACAGAGGCCAGTTCCCCTGAAGAAAACAGCAGCTTTGGAGGGCACATTCCATGGCATCACACCCTGCTTAGATCCCTCCCCTTCCCAAACCCCACCTTCCACAGGCTCCAACCCAAAGAGGCTTGCCAGCCTCCAGGCAGGGCCTGGAGGTCTCCTGGAATTACAGCAACCGATTTCCAGATGACAGAGGTTAGCTTCCCTCGAGGAAACAGCGGCTCTGCAGGGTGGGTCGTGGGTGGCACTGCACCCTGCTGGAGCCCTTCCCCAGAACCCACCCTCAAACCTCCTGGGTTTTTGTTTGTGTGTGTGCACTAAGAATCTGCTTAGGACTGACGGGGCACCCATCTTCTCAGCATCCCAGAAGCAGAGGCGCCCTGGGTGGGTTTCCCCAGCAGGACCCTCACCTGGAGCCTCCACGGGGAAGGCCAAGTCAGGCCCCAAAGCTGTGGAGTCTTCTGAGCAAGAATTCTGCTTTGTGAGCTGCTGGCATTAAAGTTGTGAGTGAGCAATTTGGCTCCGGCGAAAATTAGTTTGCTCTGGAGCCAGCCTTCCTGAGCTGAGACAACAAATGTGTGAGCCAGAGGCTAAAAAACTGTGAGCTGGCTCACACTCTCTCAGCTTAGAGGGAACACTGGCTGCAATGCTCCCTCTAGGCTGCGGAGTCCTGTGAGCAAAAATTCTACTTTGTGAGCTCCTGGCATTAAAGATGTGAGTGAGCAATTTGGCCGCTGCATGAATTAGTCTGCTCTGGAGCCCTCCTTCCAGAGCCAAGACAAAAATGGGTGAGCTGTAGGCTAAAAAACTGTGAGCTGGCTCACACTGACTCAGCTGAGAGGGAACATTGGCTGCAATGCTCCCGCTAAGCTGTGGAGTCCTGTGAACAAAAATTCTACTTTGTGAGACCTACTAGCATTAAAGTTGTGAGCAAGGGATTTGGCTACTGCATAAATTAGTTTGCTCTGGAGCCAGCCTTCCTGAGCTGAGACAAAAAGGTGTGAGCCAGAGGCTAAAAACCTGTGAGCTAGCTCACACTCAGCTTAGAGGGAACACTGGCTGCAATGCTCCCTCTAAGCTATGGAGTCTTGTGAGCAGAAATTCTACTTTTGTGAGCTCCTGGCATGAAAGTTGTGAGGGAGCGATTGGGATTCTACATAAAACAGTTGGATCTGGAGCCACATCTTTCCTGAGCCGAGACAAAAATGTGTGAGCCGGACGCTAAAAAACTGTGAGCTGGCTCACACTCACTCAACTTAGAGGGAACTCCGGCTGCAATGCTCCCTCTAAGCTGTGGAGTCTTGTGAACAAGAATTCTACTTTTGTGAGACCTACTGGCAATTACAGTTGCAGGCAAGGGATTTGGCTGCTGCATGAATTAGGCTTGCTCCGGAGCCCTCCTTCCCGAGCAAAGACAAAAACGTGTGATCCGGAGGCTAAGGAACTGTGAGCCGGCGCACACCGACTCAGCTTAGAGGGGACACTCTGACTCAGGACAGAAGAAGCCGCGAGGAAGCCGCAGCCAGGTGAGCGACACCTTCCGGCCACGAAGCCTCCCCGGCCCGCAGAAAGGCTCTGCCGGCACCGGGCGGGGCCCCCCGCGACAGGCAGGAGTTCAGCCGCGGCGCCCCTCGGCCCCCCGGCGGGCCGCCCCGACGAGCGCATCCGGGTCCTTTCCCTTCCCGGC